GTAGGCCTCCTTGCCCCTCTTTGAGGTGTTCCCCCCTTGGTAAGCCTGCCAGCCCCTCTCTCCCCTCTCTGAGGTAGATGTCTACCCTCTCTGTAAGGCTGCCTGCCCCTCTCTGAGGTGTTTCCCCCTTGGTAAAGCTGCCAGCCCCTCTCTCCCCTCTCTGAGGTAGATGTCTACCCTCTCTGTAAGGCTGCCTGCCCCTCTCTGAGGTGTTTCCCCCTCAGTAAAGCTGCCTGCCCCTCTCTGAGGTAGATGTCTACCCTCTCCGTAAGGCTGCCTGCCCCTCTCTGAGGTGTTTCCCCCTCAGTAAAGCTGCCTGCCCCTCTCTCCCCTCTCTGAGGTAGATGTCTACCCTCTCTGTAAGGCTGCCTGCCCCTCTCTGAGGTGTTTCCCCCTCAGTAAAGCTGCCTGCCCCTCTCTCCCCTCTCTGAGGTGGATGTCCACACTCTCCATCAGACTGCCAGCCTCTCTCTCTGCTCTCTGAGGTGTTTCGCCCCCAGTGAAGCTGCCTTCCCCACTGTCCCCTCCCTGAGGTAATTTTCCCCCACTGTCCCAGTCAAGCCCCTGCCCCTCTCCAGTGACTTCCTCCTCAGTAAAGCTGCCTGACCCTTCCCTCTCTCTGAGGTGGCTTCTCCCTGTATGAAGCTGCTGTCCCCCTTCGCCCTCAGTGAGGCTGCCCACTCTGGGCTCCCTTTTCTGAGGCAGCTTTCGGCCTTCACTGAGGCTTCCTGCCACTCTCTGAAGTTGCGCCTACTTTTCCTACACCCTGGATGCAGCATGAGTCCAGCAAATATGAGAGGTTGGGCAGGAAACCTGAGCATGTGCTGTACACTCAGGCTCTAGATAGGGACTCGTTCGCTATACTGCTTCCCTGCTGGCCTGAAAGCGGCCCGTCAATCAGAGAGAAAAACCTACTGCCTGCTCAGATCCTCTTCTCCCAGAGAGAAATGGATCGATCGCATAAGTGTATCCCTCCCTGCGGTCACCGAGCCTGAAGAAAGGAGCCCAGCCCCTCTCATTTCTTGACAAGCGAGGGATACATCAAAGGACTTATGCAGCTCCCAGACATGAGGGGACAGAGCAGGTTGGGATTGTGCACAAAGGAGCTGCAGGTCCAGGCCCATAAATGGCAGGAAACGAAAGCCTGGATCTGACAGCGATCTGTCTAGATGCCTTCAGAAGGCGTTCGTCACAGAGCAGTTCCTCCCGAACAGGACCTGTATTTGAAACGATGCCTTTTTCACACCGTAAAGGGCTATCGGCACTGGAAACAGCGCAGCAGCGAGTGCCCATATTGCACACGATGGGACTATCTGCACTGGAAACTCTCCTGCGGACAACACCTGTTCTGCACCAAGTAATCGTGTCTGAATTGCCTCACTGCTAAGGCTTATAACACACATCTGCAGCAGAAATGTTTTCTGAGCGTTTTAAAATGGGCCCAATAAAAACAGATGCAGTTTGCCTTTACTGCATTATGGTTTAAACAGGTTTCAATCAGTTTAGTTCTACTGAACCCATTTTAAAACTGGCTGGAATATAAAAATATTCCCCTCGTCCTATGGGACGGTTCAAAGCGACTGAAGAGTATGAGCTGAGCTCCCTTGGCCACATTTGAAAATTTCAGTTTATAAATAAGTGTAACCCTTCTGGGAGTTATGCTTATTTGTGCAGGCCCTCAGGGTGCTGCTCCAGCATTGATGTGCTACTTCAAAGTCTAACCACAGCATTTATCTTCATATGGTTAGTCATCTTAAATGCTATATTGTGACACCTTCTAACATACAATGAACAAAATTAAACCATACATTCCTCTCTGAATTCAAAGTTACCATGAACACTTAAATGAACAAAGCTCCTATATTAGGGAAACAGCAATTTTACATAGTATTTGTTTTAATGTACATACGCTAGCTAAGCTTTCTTTATAATTATACATTTATAAGATTGTATAACTAAAGGAAAGCTGAACGAGAAAATGTTTTCTTCTCTTTGAAGATCAAACAAACTATGTGAGCAAGACTGGCGCTTGAGAGAGAACCATTCGCAGATCAGAAATGTCAGGTCCTGGAAAACGTATTTATCTTAATAAAGTAACATAAAAAATCGAAGGTTTGAGGCTGATCAGCACTCCCAGAAAGTAAAATCCCTTGACCTGGAACCCTATCATTTTAAAGCATTATTTTATGTACAATGGTTCTGTTAAACTACAGACCTAATAAAGTCATTTGGCCCCTCTGCCTCAGCTCTCCCATCTGTAAAAGTAGTATAATGATACCAACCCTCTTTGAAAAATGCTGTAAAACCTATTGATGACGTGCTATAGAAGACCCGAAATATTATTTGTTGGGCCCCATCTATATATTACACTTAAAGTATGATTAAGCAGTTATGTGGTCATCCAGCCACACATTCAATCAATTAATGCCATGATAAAAGGAGGAATACGCTACAAAGTTATTCCATGAAATATGGAAAATTATGAAATATTAAAAATATGGAATATTTTGCAGAATAACTTTGTAGCTGCTTCCAATCATGCTGTTGAACATGCAGCCAGGAGTCCCTGTGGCTGAGACCCCTATCAGCAAGGTCTCATGTAGCTCAATCTTTGGAAAGTTTTGCTTTATCCCCTTGTTCACTACCAATCTAAACTACACCACTTACAGAAAGCCATGTAACATTTAAATCAATTCCGCCTCAGGCTTTTTGAATGGCTGTACCTACCCTAAGTGCTGTTCTTGAACATGTTTTACTAAATTTGGACCATTATTAGGAGATGGATAGGTAGTCCAACTAGTGAAAAGCATCATAGTTTTAAATTAAATTTCAAAAAAGTTTTATTTTACTTTTTACCGTTTTTTAATTTTACCTTTTACCTTTTAACTAATTATTTTATTCCTTGAATGTTGATTATCTAAAATAGTAATTTTTTTCATCCCCATAAGGATATTGAATTTAACAATGGGGTAAATTCTTAATAGAGCCTATGAAATTTAATATTGTGCTGCAAAAGAGTCTATACTATGCATTGCCTTAATATTGCCCTTGGATTACATAGCTCGGATATTATTTCCTGAATGCTACAGTAATAATATTGGAGGATAGCCATCTTCCCTATGTAATATATTTCTATATTTTTAAGTAGCAGTTATATGTACTAAGCAACTTTGAAAAATACCTGACCGTAAGCTACTGAAACAGTATAGGTATACCTTTATATTACAAGAACATAGCTTTTTTTCTATTTTTTTTTATTATCTCCGTAAGTTTTAACCAATAACGCTGTAATTTAGATACATATATGTTAAATTACACCCTAATATTATTTCTATACCATCTTTTTTGTTCTTTATAAAAGTACTTACACATAATTGCAGAACATAATTTCAACAAGTGCTCAATTTAAACTTCAGACATAAAAGTTAGAAAGTTAACCACCGTGAAATATCCTCCTCTGGAA